AAGAAGAAGAAGAAGAAGAAGAAGAAGAAGAAGAAGAAGAAGAAGAAGAAGAACCCCACACAGACAAGAAAAACATTTTTTTTAAACAAGAAAACCAGTTAAAGAACAAAAGGAAAAACTTTCTCAGCCATACAAGAACTAGAACTATCATAGGACAGTAGAGAAGAAAGCAAGACACATCAGCACCCGGGTGGAGGAGTATGTTAACAGACCCATTTATATTTCTAAATAGTTATGGGGTGAAAAGTACGTCAATTGACCCACTCATATTTTTAAATTAGTTAATGGACCAAAAGTTTGTCTGTTGATGCATAACACTCTCTCTCTCTCTTTCTCTCCCCTCTCCCCCCCTTCTCTGAGTACCACACCTTCTCTACTCCTCTCACCCCTTCACTCACTCACTCCCTTCCTCACCACCAACTCAGAACATGGCAACTTTCTGGACAAACATTACTGGTACATAAAATTATATATGAGAGTTTAAGCGGCTTCTTTCACATACAGCTAAATATTACTACAGAATGAATTATAAAGATAATCTTGAAGTCCCAAAACTTTCTTTCCCCCCCCCCCCCCCTCCCCCTCTAATTAACCCTTTCTGTACCAAGATTTATGTACACAAAATAATATGGAGTTAGAAAGATAGAGGTATATTCCGTGTGTGTCATACAAAGAGTTAAAGAATTAGATTATAACTGTACCCAACAATAGAAAAACATCTTAGAAAAGGTCAAGGGACATACTGTAGGAGCCAATGTCTGATTTTTGCTACAGAGTAAGATTTTTTGGGACTTCATCGTTAATCGTCGTAAGATGACAAAATTTGCAGCAGGACTTACCTTGGCCTTGCTGGTGACTCGGCTGAAGACGAACTGGGCGTTGGGCGGTGTGGAGACGAACCTTCCCAGACCCTGGGTGACCTTCAGCTGTTGACCACGAGTGAGGTTAACATATGGAAGGTCAAGTGTTTTGAATGTAACACGGCCAATAGGCCTGCTATCTACACATAAAGGCCTGATGTAACACACAGCCTTTACTATCTACACATCAGATCCCATCATAGACACAACTCTCAAAGAGATAGATATATCAAGCTGAATTCAATTCTTAACTTAAAACAAGAGTTATTAACAATTTGTGACATGTATTTCCAATTGATTAGATATAACAGAAACAAATAAGAAACGAAAAGTATAATAAAAATAATAGGTTTATTGCATTCATATTGTACATACCCACGCCCTACAGCACGTTTGGGATGCTTTACAACTATCATTACCACAGAAGACCCCCCCCCCCGTCCTGATTTTGGTGCCCGTTTTTGTTGGTTACGTAAAAAGAAAGTAATACCCCAGAGGACCTAAAAACACAACCCAGAAAGAATTATTCTTGGCTCAAAAAATGGGCAAAGTCCACTTCTTTTCTGATAATGACAAAACAAAATTATATCTAAAACTCGCCACTTGAAAGAAAAAAGAACGTTAAATCAGCTCACAACATCAAGTGAAGTAACTGACTGTTAAAAATATTTTACACTCTCATTGACACAAATTAGATTCTTTAGAAGTAGGTGAGCTGTTCTGACCATGCCCATCATCAGGGCTATCCCAGGCTCATTGGGTTATCTGCACATAAGATCTTATCATTAATACAACTCAGTAGAAACATCCTCAGCCCCCCCCATAGCCTCTACTCAGCACCCACAACCCCGTGTCAGCCACTACACACACACACATACACACCTGGCCTTCGTCCATAACGATGCTGCCATTGGTGATGACATACTCAGGCACCCCGTGACACGACATGCCCTCGAACACGTTGAAGTCAACCGCCTGGTGGTGTGTCTTGGCACTGATGATGCGCTCCTGATCTCCATTCCAGATGACGATGTCAGCGTCGGAGCCCACGGCGATACGGCCCTGGGACACAGAGAGAGAAAGTGTGAGAGTGTGTGGATTGTAATCATTTTGTACACACACACACACAGAGAGAGAGAGAGAGAGAGAGAGAGAGAGAGAGAGAGAGAGAGAAGGGGGAGTTTACGAGAGAAGAGAGTGACAGAGACATAGAGACCGACAAGTAGGCAAACTGACAAACAAACAGACAGACATATTGTGAAAAGGTGAGGAGGGTTCAGTTGGAGCATTATGTCAACGCTTTCTGGAACACAACATGAATTTGT